TATATATATCTAATAATAATAATAATAATAATAATAATAATAATATTATTATTATTATTAGGGGTCAAACTTGGCTTAAAGGAAATTGTGGGAGGGTCTATTGGGTCTCCTTCATATGTCTTGGTTTAATCAATACATCACGACATATAATACACCAAATTTTTTCTTTATAATTTATCTCTCAAAATTTTCCAACATTATTTTATAGGGGTAATTGCATACATACCTCACAATTCTTATATATTTACAAATCTAACACCTAAACATTCATATTTAACAATACTTAAAAAATATCACCATCAACATCCTTTTAAAAGCGAATAAACATTTTCATGCATAGGCTTATGCTACCAATCTGCTAAAACTTATAAGTGCAAATATCAAATTTTAAGGTGTTATTTATGTAAATACATAACAATTGTTTTGTATGCATGTAATATTATCCTTCAAAATTAGGACCCACCAAGAAAACAAAAAATTAATCAGCAGCTATTTGTTCGATGACAAGTTAGATTGGACAAATAGGCATAAACAAGGGCAAAGGTCAATTCAAGTGAACTAAACTTCAATTTTACCTACGCATGAGAGGCTCATTTCACCTTTTTATATGCCATGAAAGTTTTGGATGGTATAAACGTAAAAAAGTAAAGCTCAGTCACTAGATATGTAAATACATATGAATAAGGTGGTCTGTATGTAAAAACCCTGGCCATCTAAATCAATTCGCCGTGCTGTCATGGCTACTTGAAGTTGTAATTTTTAAATCCTTGTCCATTTGTAAGTTGTACTTGTAGCAGTATTCAAATATTCAGATTCTCTTTCCTCCCAGACCGTCAAAACGGCTCGTTGTTCGCGAACAGCTCGTGTTCGGTTCGTTCGCTAAGTTAACAAGTCAAACACGCACGGCTGGTAGGGCTGTCAAAATGGCTCGTTGTTCGCGAACAGCTAGTATTCGGCTCGTTTTGGCTCGAATATATATACATTAATGAGTAATTTAAAAAAAAAAATTAATTAACTACAAGGCTACGAATCTACCAAGATTTATAATCAATTAAAAGTATTAATGAAGAAAATAGAATAAAAACTATTAAATTAAATTCAAATGATGTTTTAAATCTTGCCCCAATCCTTAACAACTTATACGAACACGAGCTGAGCCTCATGTTCGGCATCGCAACAATAAATCCCATGCACGAACACGAACACACTTTTTAAGCTCGAAATATAAACGAGTCGAACACGAGCT